CCCAGCGCGAGTTCCAGTGGGTGGAGGGCGAGTCGCTGCGCCATGTGAGCTGGGCACCCGGGGAGCCCTCGGGGGGCAGCACCCCCAGCCCCCGTGACAAGCCGGTGAGCTGGACCCCCCCAGCATCCCCCCTCTCCAGGGAAGGGCTCAGCCCCCACGTCCCACCACGGGGGTGGAAGGTTTTAGGGTGCTGGGGTGGCTTTTTGAAGGCAGAGCAGCATCTTATCCCTGCAGGGTGGGGGTCCCCTGGAGGGGGGTGTGTCTCTGGGGTGGGGATCCCTGGGGTGCAGGAGTGTCCCTGGGGGTGGGGGGATGATGTGAAGGGCATGGCTGACCTTGTGGCTTGGGTGGGGGGGGGGTGGCTTTTTGAAGGCAGAGCAGCATCTTATCCCTGCAGGGTGGGGGTCCCCTGGAGGGGGGTGTGTCTCTGGGGTGGGGATCCCTGGGGTGCAGGAGTGTCCCTGGGGGTGGGGGGATGATGTGAAGGGCATGGCTGACCTTGTGGCTTGGCTGTGCAGACCAACTGTGTGGTGGTGTGGCACGGATCACCCCCCCACTTCACCGGGCGCTGGGACGACCGGAGCTGCCTGGAGGAGAAGCACGGCTACATCTGCCAGAGGAGCATAGGTATGGGGGGACAGGGGGGACAGCCCCAGCCTCTGTGTGCTGGGGACCTGCCACCACCACCACCCTAGTGTCCCATGCTTTGGTGAGGATGTGAGGGAGCCTGGGGTGATGGGCTCAGCTTGGAGGGAGCTGGAGGAGCTCAAAGTGATGGGCTTGGCTGGGGGTCCCTGGTCTCAGCTATTTGTGGGGCGACCCCAAATCTTGTGCACACCAGCCTGGCTTGGCATGTCCACTAGGGACGTGCATCCTGATGGACACCCTCAGGTGGAGATGGGGCCAGGGTGTCACTGCTGGTCACCTCTGGGGATGGTGGACTCTGCTCTCCCCAGTCACACCAAGATGTCCCCAGATGCACATGCCCCATATACAGTGTTGTCAGGGACACCCTGGCTTGAGAGGGGAGGGATGGATGAAGGGGTGACCCCTCGGGCATTCAGGACTGTCCTCTGTGCCCTCTGACCATGTCTCTTTGCTCCCCCAGACCCGTCCCTGAGCCCCGCGCGGACGCTGTTCCCCCCCTCGCCCACCGGCACCCTCTTTTACCACAACAGCACTTACCGCATCCTGCAGAAGCCCCTCAGGTGGCACGAGGCCCTGCTGCTCTGTGAGACCCTCAACGCCAGCCTGGTCACCATCCTGGACCCCTACAGCCAGGCCTTCCTCACCCAGGCCATCAGCAGCCTGAGGGCTCCGCTCTGGATCGGGTTGGCCAATAACCAGGTGAGGGAAGGGGGCACCTGGGGCAGGGGGGACTTCAGGGGGGATTAGGAA